AATACAACGCTTTCATTTAAACTATAACAGTCTGCAAAGTAGTTAAATTAGCTCCACCTTGGCCAATAACAACAGTACAATGCTTCTTATTGCGCCAGTAATAATGCAATAATAAAAAATATGATGCTATACAACTGACATGAGCCACTCTGCTGAATAGTGAAAACTTTTTTGTATTTATTTCATTATTTTCTACTGCAGGAAATATTTAAAAATGTGGTATTGTCACTTCTAATTAAGTAAATGATCTGAATACGTCAATATGATGCTCTGTTACAGCAACAGTATATAGAATAGCTGCATTTTTCGCATAATACTTTTGATTTACACAGATGTTTTGCTACTTTTAGCCACAGTAATGGATCTCAAGACTTCCTCCACCACCAGATCCGCAGGACAAAGGGACTCTGGAAAACCATATCTGATGGCATCAAGCGTCCTGGACTCTTCTTTTCATTTCAGGTCACTGAAGTTTGATAATATCTTGTGAGTCAATCATGTGTTGCTCCTCAACTTTTTTTTTTCTTTTTTCTCTGCAAGCCCGAATGACCCCTGGGCTCCTCACCCCGAGGTGTCAAAACAAACCAAACAGCTCCACAGACACAGTCAGTACATTTGGAGAGAGCTGCTGCTGCTGCTGCTGCTGCCGCTGCTGCTGCTCGCTAATTGCCTGCAGTAATTATTGTGCCTCTCTTTCTCTCTCTCTCTCTCTCTCTCTCTCTCTCTCTCCATCACAGAGACGGTGAGAAGATCGCTCTTCTCTCTCTCTTTCTCTCTCTCTCTCTCTCTCTCTCTACAAGTTTCGACTGCGTCTGCAAATGGATCCTGTTTGTATGAATAAACATCAACTCTGCAAGACTTCTTCCTCTCATTTACACACTGAGTGAGGAAAGACCCATTACCCCCCCCCCCCGTGCTACCGCCAGCAGCACAACATTAGCTTTACAACTGAGCGGGCCGCCTCTTATTACCATCATTATCAGCATCAGCATAACAAGAGGCTGGAAACTGCATCATGTGCATCATTCTTGTTCTGCTGCTCTGTCATTTGGGGCACTTTTTCTTTCTTTCTTTCTTTCTTTCTCTCTCTGTCTCCGGCTTTGATCTGATTATTTTTGGCGTTGAAGATCATTTCCCAACATCTCTAATGAGTTCCCTCCTCTAGATGTCTGCGTATGATAGAATAACCCGCCTCAAATGCACACATTGGCTACGGAGTGCAACGGGAAACGCACAATTACAGCAACATGAGTCAGTAAATAACTGAGTGTTTAAGATGCATTTCGTGCAAATGAATATAGAATAACCTTTGAGGTCGCATATACTCTGATAGGACTTTGTTCTGTGAGTGATATTGGAGCCTTTTTGGCGCCATAAATGTTCTGTGTAGATCCAGGAGCAGAAAAATCATCTGATTGTTTTTTTTTTTATCCCACTTTTTTATTCTTAATTTTCAACTAATCACATGGCAATTTAAACCTGATTGTAAAAGCAAAGAGTAAAACATGTCATGCTTGTTAGTGCAGCAAGCTTCCATGTGATGAGGAACAGGTGGTGCGTGCGTGTGCGTGTGTTTGTGTGTGTGTGTGTGTGTGTGTGAGGCACATCTGCCATCAGGCTATCATAGCGAATACTGGCTGAATATTCACACCTCCACCAGTCCGGCCAGCAAACAGGATGCGGTCCTCCTGTGAATGAGTGAGTGTGTGCTGGGTAGTCAGACAGACAGATTTAGGGGGCTGGGGGAGTGGATGGGTTGGGTTGTGGGGGGGGGGGGCACTTATGACCTGCAAACCGGGGCGTCTGACAGACAAGCGCAAATACACAGTGAAGTATGCATGTTGGTGTGTATCCATCCAATTGCACCATTATGCCATTAAGGATGATTTACAGCCGATACACACACACACACACACACACACACACGCACACACGCACACACGCACACACTCTCCAGAGGTTTGCCTGAGAGCAAATTGATAATGTCCTTTTAATGATGTCACATTTGGGTCTGTAAAAATCTGTTGCTGCATGTTTCTCCCGCGCCAGGGTTGTTGCGCTCTCCTCCGAGAGATTCCTGGACTGAGGAGCGATATTATTAAAAAAAAAAAAAAAAAATTAACAAGAACATTGTGTCTGCTTCTAATTAAGAGTCCTGATCGGAATCGTACGTTTGCTCAGAGTCATAAAGCGCCGTCCACTGTTAATCGTCTTTATTGGTCCATAATGTTTCGTGCGCGTTAAGATGACTTGTGAGTCCATGAGTCTGCAGCCAAACTGCGGGCTACTCACGTGCATGAGAAAAAAAAGAGATTTATTCAACAGGATATAGCCTATTCAATACCAGTGGCAAAACAATGCGTATTCATTCATCCGTATGTATGTATTCCATACGTTTGGCTTTTTAGGAACCGAAAAAGTCCGAACTCCTTTAGGAAAATCATGCGATTAAAAGTTGTTTGTTCGTCAGAAAACGTAAAACTGCAAGACACGACAACTTTAAACGTTTCTCTTGAATCCATAAGAACCGCTCTTTAATTCGGCATAGGTTTACACTTTTAATAATGGGTTATTAATATCGTTTCCCCGGAGTCAGCTTTCCTGGAGCGGTGTTGATACCTGAGCGAGCGTTTGGAAGCCGATTGAACAATGGCGTCAGTTGCAGGAAGGATCTTGTATCATATTTTATTTTTCAGAGACTGTCTCATAATGAAATAGAGTTTGGAGCCGGTTTCTAAAATATGCGCTGGACGCCTCCAATACACACACACACACACACACACACACACACACACACACACACACACATACACACAAAAACTCAGTTGCGTCATTATCCCAGTGGGGCTGTAAGTGTACTGGGTTTTTGTTAGCTCCAATAGACAATTTACCATCCAGTCTGCCTAATGAATCACCGTGTGCAGCGCAGAAGAAAAGCGTCGCTTATCACCCTATGATGAAGTGCAAACAGGCCATCATCGACTCCCATCGCTGAGGGGAGGGAGGGTGGATAGGTGGGAGGGGGGTAGAGAGAGAGAGAGGCGCGTGAAGCCCCACACCCGGATGGAAGTGGCTCCCACAGGTCACATAATGTGACACATGCATAAAAATAACACCTTGCCCTCGCACCTTGACCCGCACTTTTGGCACAGAACCGATTAGATTTGGCACTTCTTTTTTTTGTAACAGGAGGTTTTAGTGTAAAACCACAAGAGTTTAGGCTTTTTTAAAAACATTTTTAGGGTTATCAGTTGCCTTCCTGTGGATCAAGTAGGGAACAGAGAAATCCAAATGAAAGAAAATGGAAGTGGAGGATTGCTGCTGTCTCTGGGTGGTTCTCAGAGCGGAGTCTGCAGACTTTAATGGGAACAAACAGGAAAATGAGGGACATTATATTCTCAGTGTTTTGAGCTTGTTTACATTGCAGCAAACCTTAGCTGAGGTTACACGGGACAATATGTACAGTAAGCTTGGCAACATCATCAGCATCATTACGGATTATTATGATCAAAATCCCCAATCAATCACTCCTTTATTCCAAACATTTCAGCCACATAATAACCCTGACCTCCCCTGAACCCTGCTGAAATAAATCACCCATGAGCACCACTACAGTAATGTAAACTTGAACCGCACAGCGTTTGTCCTACCCCCCACCCCCCCTCCCAACCCAAGGGACCCTTGTGAGGAACTGGACTGTTGCTCAACCCGCTCTGTTTTGTTTGATGGGAACGTTTCCCAGATCTAAATAGGCCCTAATAAATTTCACTTGTTGTTGATGTTGTGAAGCACCACAATGGCCAACGTGAGCTGTAAAAGATTTGAGGTTAAATGGCTTCTGGCACCTGTGTCCGTGCAGGAGGGCCTACAAATTTAACTAAGTCATAATAAATGGGATTTTAAGTAGACCCGTCTAGGTAGGCTTTTAGGCAAGCCAAGAGAAACAGTTCGAGGTCTAAAAAGGGGACAGGGGGTTTTGCAGAGGGCCAGGACAAATTGAAACTGGGTTGCTTTGAGGTATTCCAACTATTTTCATTTGTTTCTGTTAAGTCACTTAGGTCTCAAAGGCCCCAAACACACTTGAAAAAATAGACGGTGCAGCCAGCCACAGCAGCAGACACTCACACATTCCTTACTGTACATGATGTGGAGATTCACACTCTCTCTGCAGGATCTCAGATGTAGTTCTCCTTCGCTGACTGAAGCGTGGCACCGGCACTGAGCAGATTCTGCAGGTTTCAAATCAGAGGATAAGCTGCATTTTATTTGAATATAATAGTTTTTAATCCATATGAATCATTTATGTTTTTAAGTTGCGTTTAATGTTTTATCTTTACACATATACACATAGTTTTTGTGGTTGCAACCTCCTTGGTAACACATGCTTTGTGCAGCACATTGCTGCTTCCACCTGGAATGAAATGTGCTGTATAAATAAAGTTTTGCTTGTTATGGAGGATAAATAACAAACAGTCAAAGCAGCATTTGGTACCAGTGACCAGCTCTTACCACCATAATGATAATAATAATAATAACAATAACAAAAATAGTTAAATAATCAAAGAAAATAAGAGAAGCAAAAGTGGTTATGAAACAAAAGTTTTGTAATTTTCATGGTTAATGCAATATGCCACTCAGCCTGTACTTTTTAATCAATACTATTTAATCAATAATAAAAAGAAAATTTAGGGACTTTCCTTCTTTTACTGAGAATATTTCTACAGCTTGACTTTGTCCCTTTAGAGTTTGTTTTGGTGAATTGAAAGTTTTGGCACAAAAAACGCATCAGACGCAGCCTCGTTTCCATATCTTAAGAATTCGTGAATTGATAGGGGCGTCGATTTCCCTTTCCATCACCCACCCCACCCCCACCCGTCACCCATCCCTCCCATCACCC